TTGATCTAGATAAATTTAATGTAGTAACAATGATTAACATCAAAGCATTTGAAATACTGACAAGCCAGCATCCCAACGGCCCTTCATATAATACCTCACAAGAGGAATCAAAGAAGGTTTCAGATTCAATTTTTCAGGTACACGTACAAGAAGAATTCAGGAAAACTTAAAATTAATTGATCTGGATTTAGAAGCATTCAACAAATAAATCAAGGATGAGGTAGAAAAAGGCCGAATGTGTGGTCCATTCTCAATAGAACGACCCCCATGTGACCTGTTTCAAGTGAATCCCTGTGGCCTAGTCGAGAAAAAAGGCACAATACCCAAGACGTTTCATGTTATATCTCACCTATCAGCACCATTTGGTTCAAGTGTTAATGATGGCATTGATCGTGTAGATTTTGAAACAAGATACGAGAATGTTAGCCACGCAATAAGATGGATCAACCACTATAAAAGAGGTGTGTTCTGTCGAAGATTGACATTAAGGATGCATATCGCATACTTTCAGTACATCCATTAGATCAGGTTCTGCAAGGAATAAAATTGGATAATAAAATATACTTCGACAAGGCCTTGGCTTTTGGCAACAGAGCATCTGGAGGTATTTTTTGTAGATTTGCAGATTTAATCACATGGATAGCCACGCAACAAGGCATAAGGTCAATAATCCATTATATGGATGACTTCCTAATAATATCAAGACCTGATGGTCAGAAAGAACTGCAACAATTTTTCCAGATACTCAACATAATGAACATCCCATATAAGGAATCGAAATTAGAGGGCCCTGACACATGCATAACATTTCTCAGAATTTTGATAAACACAAAAACAATGTCAGTATCAGTGCCACCCCTAAAACAACAAAAAATGCGTGAGCTACTAGAAAACTGGGCCACCAAAAAATGGTGCCGAAAAAGAGACCTTCAATCAATTGTTGGCTCTTTAATGTGGATGTGCCAGGTGCTTCCCCAAGGAAGACCATTCGTGCAATATCTGATAAAAGCACAAGAAGCAGTCAAAAACCCCAAACACCATGTACGCATAACTAATCTAATGACTGATGACATCCAGTGGTGGTGTAGTATAATAGAAAAGTGGCCAGGCACTTACTTAATGGAAGATCAAGATTGGCAATAGCCTAAAATAAACAACCTCTATACAGACACATCAAATATCAGGGGTAGGGCAACCTTTGAAAGCTATTTTACCACATTTAAATGGTCCTGTCAAACATAACTGAAAATCACAACATTCAGGAGCGCGAACTACTGACTACGCTTATAGCAATTCGCACCTTCTCACCACTCTGGTCCAGGAAGAAGCTAATTATATGGACTGACAATATGTCTAATGCAGAAGCATATTATGCTGGTTTCTGTAGAAATCCCCAAATCAACAAAATCATAGCCCAAATTTATGAAACTCGGATCTATAAAAATTTTTCAATAAAATTAGAACATATATCTGGAAAACTAAACAAAGAGGCTGACCTACTATCACGATGTGGACATAATAAATATCTACTAGAAAACCTAATAGCACGGTATCTCCAATCTAACATCCCACCTGAATACACTAACATGATTTTATTTATTCCATCACTATAGTAAACTCAAGCCAGCCAGCCGACCAGATACAAACTATATACAAAAAACCTAGAACAATCAAGAAGGGAGATAGGCAGATAACAGGAAAACTTAGCTTCAACAGAGGCAAGCCACTAGATCAACATGCAGCAGACATCTTAAATCTTAGCCCACCTAAACACAAGACCTATGAAGTGATCATTAGAAGGTATCACGCCTTAGCAGAAGAGAACTGCTGGACTAATAATGACGGGAGCATATGGCCCATATCCA